CAGGCAGCGATGTCTTCATCAGCCGCCTCGGGGACAGTGCACAGGATTCCCTCCCACAGCTGGATGTTTCTTCATTTTGCACATAAAAAATAAGGGAGGCTAAATGCTTGTTTTAATTGCTCTGGTCAAAAAGGTGCTGGGGGGCCTAGGTTACTTCAGGCACTGTTTGGGGCTGGTGGTTCTGCTGTGGTCTGGTCCGCGTGGTCCTGTCCGGCTGCCAGTTCTGGGCACCATGGGAGTTGGTGGTGGGGCTGCTTATCTCTTTGCGCCAGCAACCGGCGGAGGCTTCCTATCAAGGCCGTGTACCCTGAGGGCTCCTCGCCTTCGGATGTGGGTAAAGAAGTGTCCCGCCCAGGGCGCCCCACGCCCAGCGTCTCTGCGACTGACGGGAGCCCGCTGCTTGGCAGAAGCTATTTCCCCTGCTCTGGCTGGGCGAGCTTGGTGCTCTGTCCAGAGCCGGATGCTAGGTCCCCGGCCTGCTGTGCCTGGATCTTGGTGCTGTCTTCTCCCAGCTCTGGAAAATACAGCCATTTCCACCCTCCTTTCAGAACTTCAAGGAGAGATTCTCATTCCATACTCTTTTTTATCCTGGGAGTTGGCATTTAGGTGTTTTAAACTTTCTAGACAAAGGGATTTTAAAATCTACCTTTTTTTTTTTTTTTTTTTTTGCTCTTATAGATTGAACCCAGGACCTTTACATGGAATGCTTTTTATGTTTTATTTTCAGACAGTCTTGTTAAGTAACTAAATTGCCCTGGCTGGCCTCAGACTTGTGGTCCTCCTGCCTCAGCCTCCCAGGGTGCTGGGATTACAGGCCTGAGCCACTGCACCTGGCTAAATTCGTCTCTGTTTTTAGGACCATCTCAGCTTAGTGACCTGCGGTTCCAGCTCACACACAGGCTAAGGCTCCTGCTGTTACTTAGTGATGTCTCTGTCCCTGATAAAACTTTGTCTTACAAACCTCTTTCAGCCAGTGTTGCTTTCTTCCCTGAATCACTGTGCAGCCCAGGGTGGACTCAAACTTGTGGTGATCTTCCTGCTTCAGCCTCCCAAGTGGTAGAATTATAGGCATGTGGCACCCCACCTGGTGGTTTTTTTTTTTTTTTTTTTCTTTCTGTCTTTTTGAGACAGGGTCTTGCTATGCAGTTCAGGCTGGCCTTGAGCTCATTTTGTAGCCCAGGCTTGTCTCGAACTTGCAACTGATCCTGCTGCCTCAGCCTCCCGAATGCTGGGATTACAGGTGTGCACCATCATGCCCGGCCTGTTTTTATTTTTTATTTTGAGCCAGGTCTTACTGAATTGCCCAGGCTGGATTTGAACTTGGGATGCTCCTCCCTCAGCCTCTCGAAGTGCTGGGATTACAGATGTGTATCACCACACCTGCCTGGCCCATTTTAGTTCTAGCGGCTGTACCATCACTTTTCCTCCCCACGTGCAGTTCTGGCTCCTCCTGGCACCTACGTCCAGCCAGGTGCTAGCAACTGTGACTCTGCCCACTGTTTCCCTTGGCACTGCCCTTTTCTATTTCTTTCTTTCTTTTTCTAGACAAGGTCTAAAAAACTACTGCCATGTAGTTCAGGCAGGCCTTGAACTCACTATGAAACCCAGACTGGCCTCAGACTTGTGGCAATCCTCCTGCCTCAGCCTCCAAAGTGCTGGGATTACAGCCATGAGCCACCACACCCAGCTCCCTTTTCTATTTCTATGTTGAGCATTCATAGCTTCCTTAATTTTCTTTCTTTCTTTCTTTCTTTTTTTTTTTTTTGTATCAGGAATTGAACTCAGGACCTTGTACTTGCCAGGCAGGCACTTGTGCCGCTGAGCTATATCCCCGGCCCCCCATAATTTTTTTAAGCTCCTCTAGTTTTTTTATCTGTATCTGCTCTGTAGTCACTAAGCATGGTTGTCATGGCAGACACCATCTCTGCAGTTATCTAAGAAATTATTTCTAATTTGATTTTTTTCCTAGAGCCTCATTCGATTGTTGTTACCACTTCAAAGGGGCCAGGTGGTTGGCTTTCAGACTGTCCTCACCTCGTTGCCCCCTGGGTTTGCCTTTGGTGAACTGGATGTCTGGGGTTGCATCTTGTTTAAGTGTCCTCTCATTTTGTTTTTTTAGTTTAATTCCTGGGGTGATACTGCTTTTGGTGAGTTGCTTTATTACTAGTATTTAGAACCCTTAGGAAATGACTACTTCTCTGAGGTATCTTCCAGGTATAGCTGGTTTTTGGGTTTTGAGTGTTTTTTTGTTTTTTGTTTTTTTTGTACCAGGAATCGAACTCACGACCTTGCGCTTGCCAGGCAGGTGCTTGTGCCACTGAGCTATATCCCCAGTCCACTGGGTTTTGAGTCTGTTGCAAGATCCTATGTCTTCAATTTGTTGGGGATGAGAAGTTGCTGCCTGTTTGTCCCAGCCCCTGGTTATTTGGCATTGTGCCACGGTATTTTCTGTGACTTTTTGTCAATCTCAATCTTGGAATACCAGGAAGAATAGCTGTTTAGAACAATTATGTCACCTTTGGCTAAAATGGTGCCATCAACAATGACAATAGCATCAACAATAGCCTAGAAAATGACAAACTGAGATAACTGTTAATTTGTCAGTTTTAACCATACGAACTAGATTTGTGGTCATATAACAAAATATAAAACACACCAGGAAATTACATGCAGTATATAAGCCCTTAATATATCAATTTTTCCCTCAGGGGTTAAAATTTAAAAGGGAGGATTAGGGAAAAATAGAGAGGTAGAAGAAGAGGAAGAGATTAGAAGTAAGGCTGGAGGCAAAAGGAGGATCACGCTAACTTTGGGAAACTGGTGAGAAGACTGGAGGGAAAGAGAAGGAAGAGGTAGAAAGAACAGAACAGAACCACAACCACAAAGAGGCTAGAAACCACATCACACTCATAAAAACAAGATCAAACAATGAAGGAGAAACAAAAAACCACAACAAGAACGAGAGAGAGAGAGAGAGAGAGAGAGAGAGAGAGAGAGAGAGAGAGAGAGAGAAAGAGAAAGAGAGAGAAAAATCCACTTCCAGGTTAGTCTCTGGGCCAAGGATATAGCTCAGTGGCACAAGTGCCTTCCTGGCAAGCACAAGGTCCTGAGTTCAATTCCCAGTACCAAAAAAAAAAAAAAAAAAAAAAAAAACCAGGTTTGTCTCTGCTGTCCCTGGTAACGTGTGGAGACAGAGTCTTGATCCGCGCTGATCTATCCCAGCAAGCATCAGTAGCTTTTCGGTGGGGTAGTGATAATCTCATCGAGCCTGCACCTTCTGGCCAAGGCCAGGCTCATTCGGCCTGCAGCCATCAGGGCACATTCCTTGGGCCTGAGCCCAGCTGGGAGCCGCTGGATGGAGCCGGCAGCCCAGTCCTGCACATCCTCTGCTCCCCCCACTGCTGCGTCTCTCTGTGGAGGCCTCTGGGGTCACCAGCAGTCACCGTGTGTCCGCAGGTCTGAGTCACTCCTCTCAGGCCGTGAGTCCCGTCTCAGGGAGAAGGCACTGCTGCCTACCTCCTTCCTCTTCATTGAGGTTTCTCCCTTACCCTCCCTGTGGGCTTCAATTCCACCTCAGATCCTTCCTGGGTCAGATCCACTTCCCTCCTTGTCTCCCTCACATTGCTATATTCCAGCATCTGGACGGCAACACTCAGAGGGGTTTGTTCTCCGCTGCTTACCACTCTGCCATCTTGGTGCCTTCCCCACTTTTCTACTTCTTTATCCTACTTTCGTTGTGTTTTGTTTTTTTGAGATGGGCCTCACTATATAGTTCAGGCTGGCCTTGAACTCAGGGTGATCCTCCTGCCTCAGCCTCCCAGGGGCTGGGATTACAGGTGTGTGCCACCACACCCTGCTTCTTTACCCTGTTCTCCTTCTGGGACATTTCCTCCAGTTGAATCTTCCCTTTTGGTGATCTGTTCCTTGGCTGTATCTGGTCTGCTCTTCATTCTGTTTATTCTGTTCTCAGTGTTCAACCATGCATTTTGTGGGTTAACTTTCTACTTGGCTATCTGTTTTCAATTTAATGCTTTCCTATTATTATTTTATTTATTATTATTATCATCATTATCATTATTATTTTGAGAGAGGGTCTCCCTATGTATTCCAGGCTGGCCTTGAATTCCCTATGTAGCTCAGGCTGGCCTCAAATCATGGCGACCGTCCTGCTTCATCCCAAGTGCTGTGATTGCAGGTGAGTGCCACCAGGCCTGGCTGTTTTCCTGCTACTGTGTTATTTGTTTTCCAAATGTCTACTCATCTCTCGCGTGCTCTGTTTAGTAAGCTAATTACAAATCACTGAAACAACAACAACAACAACAACAAAACAACCCCCCGGTCACCTGTTGCGATGTTTCTGTCTCTGGTAGGATCAGGGCCACAGGCCATTGGTTTCTGATTGGGGCGGCCCCCTCTGCCGTGTGGGGACACTTCGCACTGTGCTGCCTCTCTGGGGTACCTCTGGGCACGATAAACCAGAGCAGCCCTGTCGGTCAGGCCTCAGGGAGCAGGGAAGGTTGGCTGTGTCCCTGGAGTCTGGCAAGGCCATGAGTGGGTCCTCAAACCACACCTGGCCGCCAGCCAGCCCCCTGTGTTCCCCAGTGTGCCTGCCCCCGCCCCAGCTGCAGGGAGGTCACTGGCTGGGAGCAGCCTGGGCAGCTCGAATTTCAGAGCTCAGCAGCTGGGACACTAGCCAGTTCTGCCCCCTGGAGCTGGGGGCAGGGAGGACATTCTGGGGACACTGGCCCAGTTGTCCCCACCCCCATCTCCATGGTGACAGGTGGAGGGGGCAGGGCCCTCATCCGCGTGCGGCTGCGACTTCCCCCCGTGCCCAGACAGTCCTGGGCTCTGTGCAGAGGGTCAAGCGGCCGCTCGTCACAATGCAGATCAACTCTGTTGCTACCATGCAGGTCTCCAAGGAGACAGGAGAGAAAAATCGGGCCACAAGGCCTGGCAAGCGTGCAGGGTAATTAAAGTGTAACGCACACACCTTTCTACAGCAGGAGGAGGGGGGCCCAGGAGCCGTGCCCGGCCCATGTCCCGCCTGCTGGACCTCGGACCCCGACCTTTGGACGGCAGCGTCCCGGTCCCGTGGAAGAGCAGCCCGAGCTCGCTGTGCGATTGAAATTCGTCCCCGCTCGCTCGCCTGCCCAGGAGACGTCCTCATTCAAGCCCAGAATCTGGGTCAGCTGTTGATGGGCCCGGTACCTCCTGAATGAAGCTGGCAGCCCAGGTGGGGTGGGGGACCTCTGGGGGCAACGGGGGCATCCGGGAGGAATGTGGCCCTCAACTCCTGTGTTTGAATCCATGGATTTAGCTCTTGGGGTGTGGCCTGAGCCCAGGCGCCTCTCAGAACACACAGGAAAAGGCCTGGCTCTGGGGGAACGGGCTTGTAGGGCGGGCCACGCCCCATCGAGCTCACTCTAGACCCTGGCCCTGTGATCCCAGCCCTGTGAGCCCCGAACCTCACATTCTTTTTCTTTTCTGTTTTTTTTGTTTGTTTGTGTTTCTTTTTTGAGACAGGTTTCACTATGCAATTCAGGCTGGCCTTGAACTCACTTTGTAGCCCAGGTGATCCTACATGGATCCTCCTGCCTCAGCTTCCCAAGTGCTAGGATTACCAGACCTGGCCCCTCAATCCTTATAAATTGTTAGATGAGCTCGACAAAACCTGAAAATGCGAAATCAGTCCTGCTGGTAAACTGGGAGTCAGTGTCAGATACCTGGTACCACGTTTAAACTGCTGTCCAATAAATGTCTTTTACGGGTGATGGCTTACACCGGATGTAAACAAAGCCCTGCCCTGTGCGTGCTGGTGTCCCCAGGTCTCTGGGAAGCGCTTTCTCATCTGGAACTGTTCCTGTCTTGGTTTAACTCCATTGTCACACATGGGAAACTGGGCGCTCGTCCCGTGGCGTGTCCTGCAGTTTGGATGCATCTGGTTCCAGCCTCTCGGGTCGCAGCCTTGGCTGTGTTTCCTGGAGTCTTGAGGGGCCGGGACTGGGCTTTGCCTTCCGTGTGCAGCTGCGGGCAGCCGCACGTCCTGGGGTCCGGCTGCGCTGGTGCAGGCTCCTTTGGTGACTCCCGAGTGGTCCCCAGCCTGACCCGGAGGGCCCCACCGCACACGGACCTCTCCAGCCGCACGTTCACCTCCTGCCGCCTCCCTGTCCCCGAGGGTCATCCTTCCAGGTGCCCAGGACGGGGCCCAGGAGCTTGGGGTGCAGGCTGGCCCGGGTGCTGCTCCCCGAGAGCGGCCTCAGCTGGCCTGGGAGGCCCGGCCGCTCCTCCTCCAGCTCCAGCGCCGAGCCAGGCCCCTTCCTCTGGGCACCACGCTGCTGAGGCCGATGGCAGCTCTGGACAGTGTCCACCAGGGGCTCTGTGGTCCTCGGTCCTGCACCTCCAGGACCCCGAGAGTGCATGGAGCCAGCACAGGGGCCGAGGCTGGAGGGGGTTGGGGTGCAGGCCCGACACAGGAGGAGAGCCCCCCAGGTGGGGATGCACAGCGCCCTGGCGACAGGTCTGGGTGAGCGCTGTCCCGGGGAGCCCACGCCCCCACGCTCTGGCAGTGTGGGTTTCTCCTTGGAGCCCTCTGAGGAGCCTGAGGAGCGGACAGGGCAGAGACCATCATCCCCGCGCTGTGGAGAGGGCCACTGAGGCCTGGCACAACCCAGGGGGCAGTGACACAGGGCTTGAGCCCAGGGCCCTTGACTTTATAGCAACCACGGAAAAGAGTGGGGAGCCCCGCAACCCCTGAACCCCGTTCTTTTGTTTTTTTGAGACAGGGTCTTGATGTGTAGCTCAGCTCATGGTGAACCTCCCGCCTCAGCCTCCTAAGTGCTGGGGTTACAGGTGGATGCATGTGTGCCTGCAGGCTCTTTGGCTGTATTCCACTGTAACTGGTCTCATTTGTTGCCCATGCACGTGTGCTGTGTATGTGCAAATGTTAGCTGGAAAAGCATCCCTGCCCTTTGCTGTTGCCAAATGAGCCTGGGGCACAGGAGGCCCAGGGCCCCGCAGGGGAGAAGACGGGATGGGTCAGGGGCCGTGGGGCTGGGAGTCAGAGAAGGCTCCCCAAGGAGACAAGGCTAAGCCAGGCTTTGAAGCATGAATAGGAACTCGTGGGGCTGCAGAGGCGACCCCAGGGTGTCTCAAGGCATTAAGCGAACACAAGGACGCCAGCCCTGGACGCCATTTCCTACATGAAGGGTGCAGTCACACGGGTGCTGGTGACCGACCTTGGAGCCAGAGCCTGGCAGAGGGCAGAATCCAGTTGCACTGCTGAGTGCGGGCCGTGGGGGGGGCAGAGCGGAGCCAGAGTGGGCCTGGGTTACCATGGGGCGCCCTTGACGGGGGGCAGCTGGAGGAGACTTGGGAATGAAAGGAGAGGGGCTGAGGGGCCTGAGGTGGGGACCCCACCACCCTCCTTCCCCACAGCCTGGGGCTGCGTGAAGCTCGGACCACCATCTGGCTGCCTTTGACTCCAGGTCCGAGCCCCAGGTGGGGCCTTGGCCCCAGACAACCTCGACCCCCGGGAAAACGCCTAATGGAGCATTCTGATTTAGCCTAGTGGTCTTTTAGTTTGAAAGACGTAAGGACAGGCTGGGCGTGATGGCACTCACATGGCACTTGGGAGGCTGAGACAGGTGGCCAGCCTGCACTACATAGCAAGACCCTGTCTCAAAAAACCAAAAAACTCCAAAAAAGATGTAAGGACATTTGGCTAATGTTTAAAGACCAGGCCAGGTATGGTGGCACACACCTGTAATACCAGCACTTGGAAGGAGGCTGAGGCAGGAGGATCTTGAAGCAAGTTTGAGGTCAACATGGGCTACATAGTGAGTTCAAGGCCAGGAAGACCCTGTCTGCATAGGAAGATCCTGCCTCAAAAAACAAACAGCTGCCTGTAATTCCAGCACTCAGGAGGCTGAGGCAGGAGGAATACTGCAAGTCTGAGGCCAGCCTGGGCTACAAAGTAAGCTCAAGGCCAGCCTGAACTGCATAGTGAGATCCTATCTCAAAAAGACAAAACAAACAAACACAAACAAAAAAACCCAAAGTGACCCAAAGTAAGGGCTGCTGTCTTTTGAGTAGACTGAAGCCTCTCTCCACAGTCTGCGCCTCTTGCTGCCGCCCCCAGGGCTGGGGGCGGTGGAGGGGGAAGGTCCTGGCTCCTTGAGGCTGTGACAGTGGTTTAGCGGGTTCACCCAGCAGCTTTTTAAAACATGCAGTAGAGTTAGAGTTGCCAGGTAAAGTAGAGGATATCTAGCTAAATTTTAATTTCAGGTAAATAATGTTTAGTATAAAAATATATCCTGAATATCGTTAGGTAGAATTTTCATTTGTTTTGGTTTTTTTTGAGACAAGGTTTCCCTATGCAGTTCAGGCTGACCTTGAACTCACTTTGTAGCCCCAGCTGACCTCAAGCTTGCAGCGATCCTCTTGTCTCAGCCTCTCAAGTGCTGGGATTACAGGCGTGCGCCACCATGCTCCACTATCCTGAAAATTGTATGGAATGTACACATACTAAAAAATGAAAAAGTATATGCTTTCGCCTGAAATTCAAATTCAGCAGGGTGGCCGGATTTTTGTCATTAAACCTGGCAACGCTAAGTAGAACAGAAGAGAAGCTACAGCCCTGTTATCTCCTTTGTGTGTTTGTGAGCAAAAGGAAATCCGTTTCTTCCTGGGAGTTGGAGCAAGCACGGAGAAGGCCCCATCCTGGGTGGCTATGGGCTAAGTTATCCAGTCTTTTTTTTGTTTTGTTTTTTTTGTTTTTCTCCGGTACCGGGAACCGAACTCACGACCTTGTGCTTGCCAGGAAGGCGCTTTTGCCACTGAGCTAAACCCCCAGCCCCTGCTATGGGCTAAGTTAAATAGAAATATTGTAGGCGGTCAGACAGGGCCAGGCCCTCGAGGGAGTCGGTGCAGAAGAGGAGATACCTTGCAACTAATGGGGAGATAGAGACACGGCTGAGAGCCAGACCTCAAGACGAAAGATGAAATGAATGCACCCACATACTTCCCATAAGGATAAACAGTGACTGATACTCTAAATGGGTGTCCATCACCTTGAAAAAGTCAGGAAGAGTAGCCGGGCGTGGTGGC